GGGGGGGGGGGGGCGCCGTCAGTCGCTTTTCGTCCACGAGCAGGTCAAACCCGCGACAGCGGTGCGGGGAAGGGGTGGATGGGGGATGAACGGAACAAAAGTGTCGTGTATGGTCCATCTCGATTTTTATGACAACGGAGTTTTCCAATCTCGGAGAAAATAAAAACCGACGACGAGTCGTATCCCTGACGGTGGTCAACGAATTTTCGGAGCCTGATAGAAAAACCGAGAGGGGGAGAAAAAATAGAGGGTACGCGTGTGTATGTGAGAGAGGCATTTACACATATGCACATTTATTCAAGAGATTGTATGATTTTTTTTTTGTGATGTAATATAAATTTTAGTATTTTGTTTTTTATTTGTCTCGCGATTCGTTTGTTATTCGATTTTTCTCTTCCATTTTCCAGTCTCTTATTTTAATCCGAACTATTATTATGTATATTCGTTTACATAAGTAATGGTGTATTCATATATGATATTAAATATCCACTACATATAAAAGAATAGAAAGAGAAAGAGAGAGGGAAAGAGAGAAAATAATATATTCACGTGTTACAAAATGCAAAATTCAAATGTTAAGTATGTTATCAAGTTGGGCACAGTAGAATCCCTCTGCTTTAAATAAAAGCAATACGAGTCATTGGGGGAGGAGGCGAGCGCAATACGCAAGAAATTCCAAGTCCCTTTCGTTATACGTGTATTCAGCGAGGGACGAGGAGGGAAAAGTTAAATTTCGTTGCATAATCGGGGAAAATCGTCGCGGCAGCGGCGGTGCCGCTCGGTCGACGTTCTGCATTAGGTCTCAATTGGAAAGTAACGGGGGCGACGAGGAAGAAGAAGAGAGTAGAGGAAAGAGAGAGAAACCTTCGCCGTTTTGGAAAATTCGCTGGGTCGTCCTTTCGACGAGGGTGAAGGGAAGGAAGTTAGGCGTTTCGAGCGATGCCGAAAGCGGCGAATTGCCGTGTTAATATTCATCGGGGGGAGCGACCGCGCGCATCCGGCCGTCTACGCTCCTAAAGCCCTCGATTTAGCGCGCATTCGTGCACCGCCGCTTCCTCGTTCCGTTCGGCACAGCCAACTTACAGCTCGCCTAGCAATTTGCCGGCGGTCGTCCGAAGGAATTTCGAGCCTGCGGCGTTTCAACCCTTTTCGCGCGCGCGCGCGCGTTAAATGTTTCTTCTCGTATCATCCCTGAACGCGCGTGTACTTCTCCCCCGCAAATTATCTTTCATTCACACTGCGATGATTACCTCGCCAAGAGGCGGAAATCGAAAGAAAAATAGGATCTACGTGGAAAGATGGATCTTTAACTCATTGGGACGCGCGCGTCGAGTTCGAGTTTCGTAAGGGTGAAATTTTGCGTTCGCGTGCGAAGGCAGCGCTTCTAGATCCGCGTTCAACGCGCGCTCACACTCCGCAGTACTTGTTGCTCGGGACGATTCCGCCTATGTGTGTATTAAATTCACGCGACCGACAAATCTCGCACTCTGTTCGTCAAGCCGCGAGGAAGAATCGTGCACGCGCGTGACTCCACTCGACGACAGAGAGCACTTCATCGTTGAAATATTGATCATTCTTGCGTCGAACGCGATCCTCGTGCAGCTCACGGAAAATCCGCAAAGTGCGACACACGTGCGCGCACACAAACACACGGATGCACGCAGGCACCCACACGCAAGGCGAGATAATCGAAAGTGCGTCGTTTACGCCTCCTCCAGTGCATCCCCCGCGGGGCGCACTAATGAATAAATTCCTTACACGGTCAGACGAGTCGAGAAAGCTATCGCCGTCGTCGCTTCGCGGAAAATTGCGAGCCGGGAAAATTGGCACGATCCGATCTCACTCTCCGCTTCTCTCCCTCTCTATCTCTCGCTTTCTCTCTCTCTCGTACTCTTCCTCTCACTCTTCCTCTGTCTCTTTTCCTCTATCTCGTGCGTTACGCGTGAGGTGCGTAGGTAGCAGCTTCCACGAACGGCCAATCGAATCTTCTTCGTGGAAAATGCACTCGCCGGGATGCACCGTTGCATCTGGTCGCTGATGCGCCACACATGCGCCGCACTTTGACTCTCTGGACAATGTCTCGAATTATCCTCGCGAAAGCAACTGCGAAAGGGGGTTCTCCATTCCCTCTGCCGTTCCCAAATACGCGAAGGGATGGTCCCGTTTATTTATTCTTTCAGCGGAAAAGAAGAAAGAGAATTTCTGACAGACAATTCTTGAAAATGATAATTTTCCTTGTATTTTATGGAGAAATTTTTCTTCAGATCTATGCTTTTCTCAAAAATTTTGTGTAAATTTATTTTTCATCACACTTGTATGTTAATATTTTATTTTACTTTTTTTCAATATTTTAGTTATTTATTCTCTCTCTCTCAAACATTTTTTATTTTTCATATTTTTCATATTCTGGATACTTTAATTATTTGTATTTTAATTTTTATGAACCTAAAATGTTTATTATATTATATTTTTTTACTATATTACATATTGTTATATGTTTGACATTTTTATCTGACACACGCGTAATTAGAATACAGTTACGACGGGAAACGGAAAAACAATTCGGACTTACAGGGGAAGTATCTATATAAGAATTCCATTATTCCTCTGGAATGAATTTTAAGCCTTTTCCCTCGTCTCGCCAAATCCACCGATCGATTTGTCCACAGCACGTCGACGGTGAGAATATTAACGACCGCTCTGATTCCCACCTCATCCGCTTATTATCACACCGGCTATTTCCCGGCACGGCAAACGGAGTGGCGCAAGGATCGCCATTATGGCGACTATTTTGTCTGGCCTATTT